GTCAGTCATTTCTCTTTTTACCATGGTGTTACTTATTGGTCCATTTGTGAGGACTTTTGCTTTGTATAAGTCACATTGAAGGCCTTCGTCTTTAACCTTCATCAGTACATGCTTCAACCCTCTTTTTTTTCAGCAAGCAAGGTTTTGTCATCTGCATATCACAGATTGTTAATAAGTCTTCCCTGAAAATTCCATATTCTTCTTCATATGGTCTAACTTGTCAGGCTACTTGCTCAGCACACAGATCAAATAAAGTTGGTTAAAAGATAAAACCCTAATGCACATCTGTCCTGATTTTAAACCAAATGGCATCTTTTTGTTCTGTTGGAATGACTGCCACTTGTGCTAAGTACAGGTTCTGTCTGAGCACGCCTGTCTTGTTCTTTTCAATGTTATCCATAACTTTTTATAATCCAGACAGTTGAATGCCTTTGTACAATTAATAAAGTACAGGCAAGCTTTTTCTGGTATTCTCTGCTTTCAGCCAAGATCCATCTAACATCAGAAATGATATCTCTTGTTCTATGCCATCTTTTGAATCTAACTTAAATTTTGGCAGCTCCTGTCAGTATGCCTGTCAATGTAATACTACAACAGTTTTGAATTATCTTCAGCAATATTTTACTTGTATACAAAATTAATAATGTTGTTTGACAGTTGACACATTTTGTTGGGTCACCTTTACTAGAATGGGTACAATTTTCTCTACTTTCCAATCTGTTGGCCAGGTAACTGTCCTACAAATTACTTTGCATAGACATATGAGTACTTCCAGTGCTACATGTATGTGTTGAAGCATCTCAATTGGTATTCCATCAATTCCTGGAGCCTTTTTTTTTTCTTTGACAATGCCTACAATACAACTTGGTCATCATCCTTCAATACCACTGGTTCTTTATCATATGCCACCTCCTGAAATGGTTGCACACTGCCAGGTTCTTTTAATTGTAATGATTCTGTGTATTATTTCCATCTTCTTGTGATGATTTTAGCATTGTTTAATATTTCGCCATACAATCCTCCAATATGGCAACTTAATGCTTGAATATTTTCCTCAGTTCTCTTAGTTTGCAAAATGCCGAGCATATTCTTCCTTTTGGGTTTTGTAACTCTAGGTCTTTTCACCTTTCATTATAATACTTTATTTTATCTCCTAGACCAGTGGTTCTCAACCTTCCTAATGCCGCGACCCTTTAATACAGTTCCTCATGTTGTGGTGACCCCCCCAACCATAAAATTCTTTTCATTGCTACTTCATAACTGTAATTTTGCTACTGTTTTGAACCAGGTGACCTCTGTGAAAAGGTTGTTTGACCCCCAAGGGGTGGGGTGTTTTAGAACAACTGTCTGAGAGCCACACTTAAAAATACTCTGTTTGAAGGGTCTTAGGGAGGAGACAAGCCAGTCAGGGTGCAGTATAGCACTGATAAAATATACAACTTTCCTCTAGTTCTTTAATGCTTCCTACCTCTTGCGCCCTCATTATCATGACCCCAATTCTACGTTACAAATCTGGCTAGACCAGAACATATACACGGGTATAGATAAGAGCTGGAAATACATAGAACCCAGGACAGATAAATCCCTCAGGACCAATATTGAGAGTAGCTATACCAGGAGGGCCAGGGAAAGGTGGAGGGAGATAGGGGGGACTGATTACAATGATCTACATATAATCCCCTTTCAGGGGGATGGACAACAGAAAAGTATGTGAAGGGAGGCATCGATCAGTGTAAGACATGAAAAAGTAATAATAATTTATACATTATCAAGGGTTCATGAGGGAGGGAGGGGAAAAATGAGAAGCTCATACCGAAGGATCAAGTAGAGAGAAAATGTTTTGAGAATGATGATGGCAACAAATGTACAAATGTGCTTGACACAATGGATGGCTGTATGGATTGTGATGAGTTGTGTGAGCCCCCAATAAAATGATTTTAAAAACTTCTGTTCAACTGTGTTACTTAATCATTTGTTCTGTTCACTTTAGGTATTTATGAGTAGTATATAATAATTACATGGTGAAGTAGATGTTAACATTGAAAAAATTCTTTTTGTGTTTTTTGTTAAAAAAGCACAATGAAACATTTCCTTAATATCTGTGAGATTTGAGCAAGTCCCTTCATTCTCTGCACCTGTATCCTAAATAGAAAATGGTATAATAATCTCACTTTTGTATGTCATGAAGCATAGGATGGAAATTTTCTAGAAAACATTTGACACTGTGCCCAATGTGTTCAATAAGTGTAGATTTTAATTCTTACTGGTTTTATTGATATTATCATGAGCTGTACTACTGTCAATAGTAATATTTTATCCTTTGAAGTTAGTATTTTGCCCATAATCATCTGAAGTTGGTATCTTTTATAGGACTCATCCATGGTTTGGTCCTAATATTGTGTATGTTTCTCTCTTGTTAGATGAAGATGGGGAGTTTCAGAGGCCATGCCATCCCTGGAAGCTTTTTCTATTTCATGGGTCTGTGGTGGAGCACAAAACACATTCTGAAGTACGCCTGCAAAAAGTACAAGCGGAGTTGCCACTTTAAATCCAAAGCATCATTTTGTCGAACAGACCTTCTGGAGGGAATCATAATGATTAGCATGGCTTTATTTGGTGAGTAGACCATTTCTTTTTTTTTTTTTTTTTGTGCCATACATGATTTGACTTCTTGACTGCTGCTCCCATTGATCTTGATTGTAGGAATGAGTAAAAGGAAATCCTTAATAA